GAATAAAGATGGGTCATAGTGGTCCTCCTTCCACTAGTCATGCTGACTAGTCATTCAGTCTTCATGTTTCTTCACCTTCATTAGGTGTCTCACCTAGAGTCACGCCCATATCTTCCCAGGAGCCTACTCTGCTGCAGGCCTCCAGCTTAGCAAAGAGATGTTCCCCCTTGTTTCCCTTCTTGTTCCCAGCCCTCTTACCTCCCACCCCTGTTCTCCCCACATCTGAGCCTCACCCTTGTTTTCTTTCCATTCCATCTCCTGCCCATTTCCTTCTCTTCATCCACATCTGCTGTCTATTCTATTTCCCCTTCGGAGTGACATTCTAGCACCCTCCCTTGCACCCTTCTTGTTACTTAGCTTCTTCAGGTCTGTGGATTGTAGTACTGTTATCCTGTACTACAGGTCTAATATACACTTATAAGTGTACATACTATGTGTGTCCTTCTGGGCCTGGGCTACCTCACTCAGGATCATCTTTTCTAGTTCCATTCATTTGCCTGCAAAATTTAAGATTTCTTTGTTTTTAATAGCTGAGTATTATTCCATTATGTAAATGTACCACAATTTCTGCACCCATTCTTCAGCTGAGGGACATCTAGTTTGTTTCTAGTTTCTGGCTATTATGAATAAAGCAGCTATGAACATAGTTGAGCAAATATCCTTGTTTTATGGTGGAGTGCCTTTTGGGTATATACCCAGGAGTGATGTAGTTGGGTCTTGAGGTAGAGCTATTCCCAATTGTCTGAGAAACCTCCAGATTGATTTCCAGAGAGTTTGTGCAAGTTTACACTCCAACCAGCAATGAAGGAATGTTTCCCCTTTTCCACATCCTCACCAACACATGCTGTTACTTGAGTTTTCGATCTTAGCCATTCTGACTAGTGTAAGATAGAATCTTAGAATTGTTTTGATTTGCATTTCTCTGATGGCTAAGGATTGAACATTTCTTTAAGTGCTTCTCAATCATGCAAGATTCTTCTGTTGTGAATTCTTGGTTTAGCTTTTCGCCATCTTTAAATTGAATTATTTGATTTGTTGATGTTTACTTTTGTAAGTTCTTAGTATAGTTTGGATATTAGCCCTTTTTCTGATGTAGGGTCGATAAAGATCTTTTCCCAATCTGTGGGCTGCATTTTGTTCTATTGATAGTGTCCTTTGACTTACAGAAGCTTCTCAGTTTTATGAGATGTCATTTATTAATTGTTGGTCTCAGAGCCTGTTCTGTTTGTGTTCTGTTCAGGAAGCTGTCTCCTGTGCCAGTGAGTTCCAGACGCTTACCCACTTTGTCTTCTAATAGGTTTAGAGTCTCTGGCTTTATGTCAAGGTCTTCGATCCACTTGGACTGGTGTTTTGTGCAGGGTGATAAATAAAGGTCTTTTTTTATATGCAGACATCCAGTTAGACAAGCACAAATTTGTTGAAGATGTATTCCCCCCTCCCCCCCATTGTATGGTATTGGCTTCTTTGTTGAAAATCAAGTGCCCGTAGGAGTAGTGGGTTTATTTCTGGGTCTTCAGTTTGGCTACATTGATCAACTTGTCTGTTTCTATGTCAATACCATTCACTTTTTATTGCTATTACTCTGTATTATAGCTTGAAATCAGGGATGTTGATACCACCATAATTGTTTTGGCTGTCCTGGGCCTTTCATTTTTCCATATGAAGTTAATGGTTGCTCTTTACAGGTCTGTAAAGAATTGGAATTTTGATGAGAACTGCATTGAATCTGTAGATGGCTTTTGGCAGGATGTTCATTTTTACTGTTAATCCCATTGCTCCGTGAGCACGGAAGATTTTTTTCATCTTCTAAAATCTTTAATTTCTTTCTTCAAAGACTTGAAGTTCTTGTCATACAGGTCTTTTACTTGCTTGGTTATAGTTACACTAAGATATTTTATATTGTTTGTTGCTATTCTGAAGGGTGTTGTTTCCCTAATTTCTTTCTTAGCCCTTTTGTTGTTTGTATAAAGGAGGGCTATTGATTTTTTTGAGTTAATTTTGTATCTAGACACTTTGCTGAAGGTGTTTATCAGCCGTAGCAATTCTGCCATATCATCTGTGAATAGCTATACTTTGACTTCTTCTCTTCCAATTTGTATCCTCTTGATTGTCCTATTGGTGTAGGTAGAACTTCCAAGTACTATATTGAATAGATATGTTGAGAGTGGACAGCCTTGTCTTGTTCCTGATTTTAGCAGGAATGCTGTAAGTTTCTCTTTACTTAACTTGATGTTGGCTATTGGCTTGCTGTCTATTGCCTTTATTGTGTTTAGGTGTGTGCCTTGAATTGTTAACCTGATTTTGATTTAACTTTGGTAAGTGATATATATCAAGAAAACCATCCATTTCATTTAGATTTTCTAATTTTGTGGCTTGCAGTTTTTGAAGTACAATCTAACGATTCTTTGGATTTCCTTGATGTCTGTTGTTATATACCCCTTTTCATTTCTGATTTTATTAGTTTGGATATTCTCTCTGTCTTTTAGTTAGTTTGACTAAGTGTCTATCTTGTTGAATTTCTCAAAAAAACAAACAAACAAACAAAAAAAAAACAGGTCATGGTTTTGTCGATTCTCTGTATTTTTCTCTTTGTGTCTAGGCTATTAATTTCAGCCCTGAGTTTGATTATTTCCTGCCATTGATTCCTCTTGGGTGTGTTTGCTTCCTACTTTTCTAGAGCTTTTAGGTGAGCCATTAAATTGCTAGTATGAGCTCTCTCCACTTTCTTTAATGAGGGCACTTAGTGCTATGAACTTTCCTCTTAGCACTGCTTTCATTGTGTCCCATAAGTTTGAGTAGGTTGTACCTTCATTCCCATTGAATTATAGTCTTTAATTTCTTTCTTTATTTTCTCCCTGACCCAGTGGTCATTAAGTAGAGAGTTGTTCAGTTTCCATGAGTTTGTAGGCATTCTATTGTTTCTGTTGTTGTTGAAGTCTACCTTTAATTCATGGTGGTCTGATAGAATACAAGTTGTTATTTCAATTTTCTTGTATTCATTGAGGCTCGCTTTGTGTCAAGTATGTGGTCAGTTTTGGAGAAGATTCCATGAGGTGCTGAGAAAAAGATACATTCTTTTGTGTTTGGATGCAATGTTCTGTAGATATCTGTTAGGTCCAATTGACTCATAATGTCAGTTCCATTATTTCTGTTTAGTGTACATTTTAATGTTATCTCCATTGGTGAGAGAAGTGTGCTGAAGTCTCCTACTATTAATGTGTGGGGCTCAATATGTGACTCAAGCTTTAGTAATGTTTCTTTTACAAATGTGGGTGCCCTTGCATTTGGGGCATGTATGTTCAGAATTAAGACATCATCTTGGTTGATTTTTCCTTTGATTGAGTATGAAGCGCCCTTCCCCATCTCTTTTGATTAATTTTTGTTGAAAGTCTATTTTATTAGATATTAGAATGGCTACTCCAGCTTGTTTCTTGTGTCCCTTTGCTTGGAAAACTTTTTCTAGCCCTTTATTCTGAGGTAATGTTTGTCATTATTGCTGAGGTATGTTTCTTGTATGCAACAGAATGATGGGTCTTGTTTATGAATCCATTCTGTTAGCCAGTGTCTTTTTACTGGGGAGTTGAGGCTATTCATGTTGAGAAAGAATAATGACCAGTTGTTGTTACTGTTATTTTGATGTTGTTGTTGGTAGAGTGTGTGTACCTGCTTCCTTTCTTTTGGTTTTATGGCTGTGGGGTTATTTGTTTCCTGTGTTTTCCTGGGTGTAGTTAGCCTCTTTGGGTTGGAGTTTTCCTTCTAGTATCTTCTGGAGGGATGGATTTGTGGCTAGGTACTGTTTAAACTCGGGTTTGTCATGGAATATATTTTTTCTCGATTTATGGTAATTGAAAGTTTTGTTGGATATAGTAGCCTGGGTTGATATCTGTGCTCTCTTAGTGTCTGCATGACATCTGTCTAGGCCCTTCTGGCTTTCATAGTCTCTGTTAAGAAGTCAGGTGTAATCTTGAAAGGTTTGCCTTTATATGTGCCTTGGCCTTTTTCCCATGCACCTTTTAATTTCTTTCTTTGTTCTGTACATTTAGTGTTTTGATTATTATGTGATGGGAGAATTTTCTTTTCTGGTCCTATCTATTTGGTGTTTTGTAGGCTTCTTAGACATCTCTTTCATTAGGTTGGGAAGATTTCTTCTATGAGTTTGTTGAAAATATTTTCTGGGCCTTGGAGTTTAGAGTCCTCTTCTTCTATTTCTAGGTTTGGTCTTTTCATATTGTCCCAAATTTCTTGGATGTTTTGCATCAGGAACTTTTTACATTTAACATTTTTTTGACTGATGTATCAGTTTCTTTAATTGATACATCTTCCATCTCTAATATTATGTTATTGATGGTTGTGTCTGTAGTTCATGTTCTCCCCTAGGTTTTCCATCTCCAGTATTGCCTTGGATTGTGTTTTCTTTATTTCTACTATTTCAATTTTTAGGTCCTGGACAGTTTTATTCATTTCCTTCCCCTGTTTGGTTGCATTTTCTTGTGTTTCTTTAAAGGATTTGTTCAGTTCCTTCATGAGTTTGATTGTATTTTCCTGTGTTTCTTTAAGGGATTTATTTTCTTCTCTTAAGGCCTCTATAATTTTCATAACCTCAGACTTAAGATTGTTTTTCTTGTGCTTTTGGTGTGATATTAGTGTCATTTGGCCGTGGGTTTTGTTGCTGGTGTTCTTGTGTTGACCTCTAGCCATTTGGTTGACTGTTATTAGCGGGTCTGGTGGTCTCTGATGGTTATAGAGACCTGGGGTTGTAGGTAGAGCTTGGGGTCCCAGTTGGATGCAGTTTTCTGGTGTTCCCTCTACTCCCTGATCTGTGCTAAGCTCTGGTGTCTCAGATTGGTGTGGGCCCCAGGGAATGGCATAGGCCGGGGAACTGGGGTGTGGGTTGTACAGAGAAAGGGGAGCACAGAGGGTCCTGGGTAGACCTGGCCACTGCTGCTGGCAGGCTGTGGCTGGCCAGTAGAAGAGGGGAGGGCAACCTATTCTTTTTTAAAATAATTGTGGGACACTTCACAAATTTTTATCTCATTCTTGCACAGAGGCTATGGTAATCTTTTCTGTTTCATTCATATTTTGTATATGCTGCCAAAGCAAGCACAATATACAACTTTATTTATTTAATGAATGAATTAGGGTTTTTTTTGTGTGTGGGCACAACAGTACATGTGTAGAGGTCAGAGGATGTTGTTCAGGAGTCAGTTCTCTCCTTTCACTGTGGGGTACCTAGGATTGAGCTCAGGTCATAAAGCTTGTGAGTATTGTGTGAAACGTACTTTTACTCACTAAGTCATCTCACTAGCCTATCCTTATTTATTTATTTATTTATTTATTTATTTATTTATTTATTCAAGATATGAAAGTATAATTTAACAAAGAAATAGAATCTAAAGAAAATCAAACTGAAAATTCAAAATGTCAAACAAAAGGCTCAGACATAAGCCTCACCAACAGACTGAATCAAGCAAAAGTGAAGTTCACATTTTGAAAATGAGGGGGGAAATGGATAACTCAGTCATAGAAAAAGCTAAATCTAAAAAGAAACCATGCATAAAACATCCAGAAAATATGGAACATGAAGAAAATTTCAAACTTACAAATAATAGGTATAGAGAAAGAAGAATAGGTATAGAGAAAGTAAAAAAAAAAAAAACAACAAACAAAAACCCAAGTCAAAGGCACATAAAAGTTTTTTTTTTAACAAAATCATAGAAGAAAAGTTCCTCAATCTAAAGAAAATGTTGTCTATCAAGGGATGAAAGGTATACAGAACAACAGATAGGAGAAGAACAGAAACTCCCCATGACTCATAATAATAGAAACATTAAATATTTAGAACAAAGAAAATACATTAAAAGTGGCAAGAAAAAAAGACCAAGTCACATACAAAGGCAGGCCCATTAAATAGCATCTGATTTTTCAATGGAAACTTTGAAAGCAAGGAAAGATGTTCTACAAGTGCTAGGAGGCTATCACAGATACAAGTCCAGACTAGGTTACCTAGCAAAACTATTAATCACATTAGGAGAAAGAAACATATTTCATGATAAAAACAAATGTAAGTCTTCTGCTGAGTTCTCCCAAAGAAATACCATTTTAATATGTATATCAAACATTTAGCACATCAGGATCCTGAGAGGCCCATAGAGCCAGGTCCTGAGAGGAAGAGTGGCTACTCTGATCCTGAGGTGCTCTTTCTCTAGGGTCTTCCTCCTCTGGGAACCTTCTCTCATCTCTTGCAGTCAGAGAGAGAAGAAAGAGATCACTATCTTGGGAGATAAATCGCAGCTGTCCATATTTTCCTTTAGGTCTGGTATCCCATCTAAGTCAAATGAAAGGAAACAAAGTTCACAAGAGAGGTGGTGTACAGGAAATAACTTCATTTGATAGGTATATATACACAAAATTCAAGTTTCATTTGAAATTCAATACGCTTGGTATATTGTAAGATGTTTCAGCTGCTCAGCTTTGTCTCTTGGAACAGCAACTTTATAAGATATAATTCTTTTTTTTTTAATTTTATTTTTTTCTTATCAGTTACATTTTATTAACTCTGTATCCCAGCCGTGTCCTGATCTCTCATTCCCTCCCAGTCCCTCCCTCCCTCATTTCCACCGTGCCTCTTGCCAAGATAGGGGGAACCTCCTCCCCATTCATCCGCTCCTGTTTTATCAGGTATCTTCAGGACTGGCTGCAAAGTTCTCCTCTGTGGCCTAACAGCACTGCTCCTCCCTTGGGGGATAGGGAGGTCAAAGAGCCAGTCATTGAGTTCCTGTTAGAAATAGTCCTTGTTCCCCTCACTATGGGAAACCAATTGGTTACTGAGCTACCACAGGCTACATCTGAGCAGAGGTTCTAGGTTACATTCATACATGGTCCTTGGTTGCATGTCAGTCTCAGAAAAGACCCTGTGCCCAGATATGTTTGGTCCTTGTGGAGCTCCTATCCTTTCCTCATCAGACTAACTCCCCTTCTTTCTTATGATTCCCTGTACTCTGCCAAAGGTATGGTCATGAGTCTTTGCTTTGAAAACAATGCTAGTTAGAGTTTTTCAAATGCACTCAGTAGACTCCTGTCAATGTTTAATGTGCATCCCATCTGTCTTTCAAAACGAGGATTGATAATCTTACCCCATGTCCGCTCTCTTGATTATCTTTTTTAGGTGTATAGATTTCATTATGTTTATCATATCTTATAGGTCTATATAAGTGAGTATATACCGTGTTTGTCTTTCTCCTTCTGGGATATTTCACTCAGGATGATCTTTTCTAGGTCCCACCATTTGCCTGCAAATTTCATGATTTCCTCCTTTTTGATTGCTGAGTAGTATTCCATTGTGTAAAAATACCACAATTTCTGTACCCATTCCTCCGTTGATGGACATCGGGGTTGTTTCCAGGTTCTGGCTATTACAAATAAAGCTGCTATAAACATGGTTGAGCAAATATCCCTTTTGTGTACTTGAGCAAACTTTGGGTATATACCTAGCAGTGGTATAGCTGGGTCTTGAGGAAGCACTATTCCTAATTGTCTTAGAAAGCGCCAGATAGATTTCCAGAGTGGTTGAACCAGTTTACATTCCCACCAGCAGTGGAGGAGGGTTCCCCTTTCTCCATAACCTCTCCAGCATGTGTTGTCCCTTGAGTTTTTCATCTTGGCCATTCTGATGGGTGTAAGGTGATATCTCAGGGTCGTTTTGATTTGCATTTCCCTGATGGCTAATGAGGATGAGCATTTCTTTAAGTGTTTCTCTGCCATTCGATATTCCTCTGTCGAGAATTCTCTGTTTAGCTCTGTTCCCCATTTTTTAATTGGATTACTTGGTTTGCTGCTTTTCAGCTTCTTTAGTTCTTTGTATATACTTGATATTAGTCCTCTGTCTGATAAAGGGTTAGTGAAGATTCTTTCCCAATCTGTAGGCAGGTGTTTTGTTTTGATGACAGTGTCCTTTGCTTTACAGAAGCTTTTCAGTTTCATGAGGTCCCATTTATTGATTGTTGCTCTTAGAGCCTGTGCTGTTGGTGTTCTGTTCAGGAAGTTGTCTCCTGTGCCAATGAGTTCTAGGCTGTTCCCCACTTTTTCTTCTAACAGATTTAGAGTATCCGGTTTTATGTTGAGGTCTTTGATCCACTTGGACTTTAGTTTTGTCCAGGGTGATAAATATAGATCTATTTTCATTTTTCTGCATGTGGACATCCAGTTGGACCAGTACCATTTGTTGAAGATGCTGTCTTTTTTTCCATTGAATGTTTTTGGCTTCTTTGTCAAAAATCGAGTATTCATAGGTGTGTGGGTTTATTTCTGGGTCTTCTATGCGGTTCCATTGATCCTCCTTTCTGTTTTTATGCCAATACCATGCAGTTTTTATTACTATTGCTCTGTAGTACAACTTGAGATCGGGGATGGAGATACCTCCAGATGATCTGTTGTTGTACAGGATTGTTTTGGAGATTCTGGGTGTTTTGTTTCTCCATATGAAGCTGAGAATCTTTTTTTCAAGGTCTGTAAAGAATTGAGTTGGTATTTTGATGGGAATTGCATTGAATCTGTAGATTGCTTTTGGCAGGATGGCCATTTTCACAATGTTAATCCTACCAATCCATGAGCACGGGAGATCTTTCCATCTTCTGAGATCTTCTTCAATTTCTTTCTTCAGAGACTTGAAGTTTTTCTCAAACAGGTCTTTCACTTGCTTGGTTAGTGTCACCCCAAGGTACTTTATGTGGTTAGTGGCTATTGTGAAGGGTGTTGTTCCCTAATTTCTTTCTCGGCCATTTTGTCTTTGGTATACAGGAGGGCTTCTGATTTTTTTGAGTTGATTTTGTATCCTGCCACTTTGCTGAAGGTGTTTATCAACTGAAGGAGTTCTCTGGTTGAATTCTTTGGGTCGCTCATATATACTATCATATCATCTGCGAATAGTGACACTTTGACCTCTTCCTTTCCAATCTGTATCCCCTTGATCTCCTTTGGTTGTCTTATTGCTCTGGCTAGGACTTCAAGTACTATGTTGAAGAGGTAGGGAGAGAGTGGGCAGCCTTGTCTTGTCCCTGATTTCAGTGGGATTGATTTAAGTTTCTCTCCATTGAGTTTGATGTTGGCTATAGGCTTGCTGTATATTGCCTTTACTATGTTTAGGTATGTGCCTTGTATTCCTGATCTCTCCAAGACTGTAAACATGAATGGGTGTTGGACTTTGTCAAATGCTTTTTCAGCATCTAAGGAGATGATCATGTGGTTTTTCTCCTTCATTTTGTTTATGTGGTGGATTACATTGATGGATTTCCGTATGTTGAACCACCCTTGCATGCCTGGGATGAAGCTTACTTGGTCGTGGTGGATGATATCTTTGATGTGTTCTTGGATTCGGTTTGCAAGTATTTTATTGAGTATTTTTGTGTCAATGTTCATAAGAGAGATAGGTTTGAAGTTCTCTTTTTTTGTTGGGTCTTTGTGTGGTTTAGGTATCAGGGTGACTGTTGCTTCATAGAATGAGTTTGGTAATGTACCTTCTGTTTCTATTTTGTGGAATAGTTTGAGGAGAATTGGTGTGAGCACTTCTTTGAAGGTCTGGTAGAATTCCGCGCTGAAACCATCTGGCCCAGGGCTTTTTTTGGAGGGGAGACTGTGAATGACTGCTTCAATTTCCTTGGGCGATATTGGGCTGTTCAGTCTTTCTACCTGATCTTGACTTAATGTTGGAAGATGGAATCTATCAAGAAAATTGTCCATTTCATTTAGATTTTCAAATTTTGTGGCATATATGTTTTTGTAGTATGACCTAATGATTGTTTGAATTTCCTCTGTGTCTGTATTTATGTCACCCTTTTCATCTCTGATTTTGTTGATTTGGATAGATTCTCTCTGCTTTTTAGTTAGTTTGGCTAAGGGTTTGTCTATCTTGTTGATTTTCTCAAAGAACCAGCTTTTTGTTTCATTGATTCTTTGAATAGTTTTATTTGTTTCTAATTGATTGATTTCAGCCCTGAGTTTGATTATTTCCAGCCTTCTGCTCCTCTTGGGTGTATCTGCTTCTTTTTTTTCTAGGGTTTTCAGTTGGGCCATTAAGTTGTTTGTATGTGATGTTACAAATTTCTTC